GTCAAAGGCTCAGTAGGAACCATTCACGTCCTTGACCACTTGCTAGGAAGACCCCAAAAAGGGCCCAGTTTCTCACAGGCCATCATGCGGGTTTCTCACAGAAGCCCACACACAGAGTGGGCTCTCTCTAAGGGCCCTCTCCTGACTGAGGAATGTTGGGCTGAGAGAAAGCCCCAGAACACTGTAAGTGTAGCTTCCTGAAGATAATCAATTTTCCCTGAGATGTTTTTGTTTGAGGGTTCTATTTACCACGCCGCTATCCTCCCTTGCTATCCTTTCTTAAAGGCAACCACTAAGACACAGAATGCTAAAAGGAGTCTGAGGCCATGTCAGATCACAGGCAGCATTCTCTTCCTCTCTAGAGAGAAGGCTGCCCGGGAGCAGACTTTGTGTTGGGCATAAACAGAAGTTTCAGGGAGCTGGGCACACCCTCAGGGCCTGTCCAGCAGGCCCGAGTCATGGAGCAAGGACAGAACCAGAGTGAGGAGGGAGGGCTTCTCAGTTTCCTTTCCCCAAAACTCAAGGTTTGCGTATGATTATAAACCGTTATGGTTCCTTTTACTACAAAAACATCTGGGCCCCGTTTGGGGGCATCTCCTTTCAAGAAACAACAGTGACATATGTGATGATAAAGAAAATGAGACCAGAATCTGTGGAGAGTCTAGAATTAACATGGCAGCAGGAAACGTGAAGATGGGAAAAAACCACCCAGAAGCAATACTACTCAACTCCTGTGACCAAAAAGCACAAAGAATGCATTAGGCATCTGCATTTGCTTTTTGGGCAGTGAAACAAAGGGGCATCCTTTCACAGAGCTAGAACTTCTGTAGAACGAGGTTCGAGCTCTAGGTGAAGGAGGCCTGTGACAGGAAGCGGGCGATCTGACCTTCAAGGCAGCCTTTCCCAATGGGTCCCACACCACAGTACATACACACCTTGGTCGTATTTGATAGCACGCTGGGGTGAGCAGACAACTTCAGCAAGCAGACCCTGGGGACTGGAGCCAGCCCAGGCAGCCCTGAGGGCTGAGGGTGCACTGTCTCCCATTGGCTGAGGCCGCTCTGGCTGATGCTGCCCACTGCAGTCGCCCGGTGGTCAAGCAGCTCTGTATTTCTGTGTGTTCTAACCTCTGAACTGGTCCGACCCTGGCTGAACAGACAGACGCTACCCTAGTACCCCCCACCTCCCTCATTCCGGAAGTCCTCATGGTAAACTGACTTCCCGGAAAGGGAAAATTTCTGGTTTAGCAGATGTATTCCGCATCCAAGGGCCTACTGTGTGACAGGCACGGCCTCTCTAATTGAGGCGCGTGTGAAAGGGCTTATTTTTTTTAAGGACTGACCAAAAATGTGGACATGGTGAAATGAGGCAAACAAAGCCTCAGAGAGAAGCTCCAAACAGCCAGCTACGCCAAATGCACCAAGGAAAAATGGATTTTTGCAAGGGCAAAGGCAGGCAGCAGGCCTGGGGGAACAAACCCGGTCACCCCTGAATGGGGCCATTGAGCTGATTTATAAAGGATCTTGCCAGTGTCCCTTGCTGCGCGAGATTGATGTGTTCTTCCTTCCAAAGCTGTGGTCCACACAACTTGTTTTCTGGGGAACCAAGGAATCCACTCCAAGGATGTACATCCATTATTTTCAAACCTTAATTAACTGGAACCCAATTAGGACTTTTGAGGGCTTTTTCTCCCCCTCACTTTGAAGGAAAACCTTTCTCTCTTAAGTCAGCATGATGTAAATGGGGGAAAATTGAACAAAGAATCAGCTATCTGATTTCTTGCATATAAGCAATTCACTTAACCTTTGCGGGGGGCATCAGCTTGCCAACATATAAATTTTGAGAGCCAATGAGATAGAAATATCTAAGGCTGTTTTTAGCAATTAAGTTCTGATTCTACAATAAGCCAACAGATCAGTAACAATAATCTGTGATCATTCTTCTTCCTTGACTACCATACCCTTCCTACTGTGAGTTGAGATCACCTAACAGTGACCTTTTATAGTTTTATCGTTATAGAGCATTTCTTATATTTAATCCAATCAAACATTCTAACAATCTGATAGGGTAAGATCTCTAAGATGTTATAACAGAAGCCCTCTCATTTGAGGTGCTTGAAGGAGTGGTTAGTAAGTTATTGTAGGGGCTGGCTAAGGAGGAGAATCAGGGGTGCCTAGGAGACTCCATTGGTTAAGCGTCTGACTTTTGGTTTCTGCTCAGGTCATGATCTCAGGGTTCTGGAATCGAGCCCTGTGTTGGGCTCGCCGCTCAGCGGGCAGTCAGCTTGAATTCTCTCTCTCTCTCTCTTTCTCCCTTTGCCCCTCCCTCCACTTGCCCTCATGCATGCACTCTCTAAATAAATAAATAAAATCTTTTAAAAAATAAAGAGGGGACTCGTACATGAGATATATTTATAACTAATCATTTAATTTACGTAAATGTATATTCATTGTTTTTCAAAATATAAAACTTTTTTTTTTAAGATTTTATTTATTTATTTGACATAGACAGAGAGCAATCACAAGTAGGCAGAGAGGCAGGCAGAGAGAGAGGGGGATGCAGGCTCCCCGCTGAGTAGAGAGCAGGATGTGGGGCTCGATCCCAGGACCCTGAGATCATGACCTGAGCCAAAGGCAGGGGCTTAATCTACTGAGCCACCCAGGCACCTCAAAATATAAAGCTTTTTAAAAGAAGATGATAATTGATTTCTACATTTTTTTTCTGAATAAATTACTCATAATTCATTGTCTATAATTTATAGTTTTGTTTCTTTTTAAAATTTTTTTTTTTTTTTGAGAGAGTGAGAGAGTGTGATTGAGAGCGAACAGGAGAAGGGGCTCCATTTCATAACCCTGAGATCATGACTTGAACCAAAATCAGGAGTTGGACCGTTAGCTGCCTGAGCCACACAGGCACCCCTACAGTTTTTGTTTCTTTAAGAGAGGGAGAACGTAGACATCTGTAAAGCCGTCTGAGTACAGAATTCTTCCTGAATTTTATGATTTTTCCCTCCTATTTTTATATAGTAGTCACAGGCAAACAGCGGAAGTTTTACAGATTCATCCTTAATGAATCTTTTCAGACAGTTTCAGTTTTCACAGAAACAACAGCTTTCTTTTTTATGCTCTTATCTGATCAGTATATCTTATTTGATTTGGGTAAACAGCAAGGTTTTTTGATGCACACAACTGCCCCGGTAGGAGCCGAGGCAGGAGGGAATGTGAGGCAGGCTGCACAGCGCACCACGTGCACCGATCCCTGCACAAGGAAGGACGAGCACCAGCTGAGGAGACCCTGAGGCATCCAGGTGGAGAGTTCGAGAAGGCAGAGGGAGAGGCCTATCAAGGCCTTGGGAAAGAGGGCAGGGCTGGAGAGACAGATTTGGGCATCATCAGCATCCAGTCAGTAGTGACAATCCTAAGAGTAGAAGAATTCGTTCAGGGATTGTGGATAGAGACAAAAAGGAGGGTGGAGAAGACTCCAAGGAACGAGAATCCTACAGGGGACAGCAGAGGAAGAGGCTCCCGCAAAGGGACCAGCAGGACATTACTGGAGATGTCCGAAGAGAAGCAGAGAACCAGGAGGTGAGCTTCAAAGGCGAGCTTCCAAATGCAGAACCAAGTCCAGGAAGCAAGAACCGAAAAGCATCCTTGGATCTGACAACCAGGCAGCCACTGGAGAGTGAGACCCTGGGTGTGTTCATGCCCCCGCCAAGGATTTCCCTGAAGGAAGGAAGGGAGATAGTCTGTCATCTCCTGTACCTTTGGTCCCTCTTCTCCCAGCTCTGCTGGCTTCCCTAGCAGCCACTCAGCCTCCTGACTGCCCATCAGCATTCACAGACGGGTCCGTTCAGGCTGCCTGAGCTCAGGCCAGGGAAGGAGGAGTGTGCAAGCTCTAGAAGGTGCTCTGACTCCCTCAAGCATAGGCAGAACAGCGTGTCCACTTGCCCCAGATGCTGCTAACTTACTCCTAGGACCAAGAGCAGGAACTATTTGCAATGCCGGCTGAGAAGCATTAGTGACATTTATCACAAAAGCTAGGATGAAATGAAATCTCCAATTACAAAGTTTTAAAACAAAGCTTTTTGAGATCCCTCCACGCTGGAAGGCTCAGAAAAAGATGTCTCTGTGAGGCTGCCCCCTTGGTGGTAGTCTCCCTCAGCCAATCCTGCTGCTTAACTCATTTTTCAAATGCCTAGAGACTTCCCTCAGCCTATAGTGAGCAGGCAGAGAGAGCAGGTTCTCAGGGGTATGGGTAAGAAACATAAATGAGAAAAAAAAGCTGCACAATACAGAACACAGGCTCTACTATATGACGTACTGACAACTGGCAAGGAAAGGATTCCTAGGTTTTAAGAGTCGCCACACACAGAAATGGACATGGAAATGTGACCAAGTTTGAGTGACAGCTACCTAAGTCCCAGGGGGCCACGGGAGCAGCTGTGATACGCAAAAGTAATCAGTACCATTCCGGGCTGCCATGTTCCTCAACAGTCAACATTCCCCAGTCTCCTCAGCTCTCTGCCTCTTTAAATATGAATCCAGAATTTATAAACATATGACTCTTTTTGGAAGACAAGGGATAAAAAGAAACACGTTTTTTAAAAAGCCTCATCATCAGATACTGGTCAACTGCCTTGTAAACTTCCCTGTTCCTGTCCCTGTCTCCATTCAGAGGGATGTGAGGTAGAAAGTGAGGGAAGGCTCAAATGCTGGGTTACAGCCTGGCCAGGAAAGACCAGCTGAGAGTGCTGGTCACAGGGCCACCCACACAAACACCGCTCTTTTGCCTTGGCTCATGTCAGTGGGCTTCGTGTGCCTGTGAAGTTCAGAGGGTGGGAAAGAGTTAGTCCCTGCCTGCCTCAGCGAACACTGTTTCAGTGCCGTGACTGGGGAAGGAAAAACGGAAGATCCCAAGACTGCCATGTTGAACCTCACGCATGCTGGGTTCAAGCATAAGTCAAATCTGTTGGTTGCACCAAAAAAAAAGAAGTGACTGACTTGATCCAGACGCAGCGCGCCGTCCACAAACCGTTGTTTGCGTAACTCCTTTGCGATTCCGTGGAGATTCAAGACAGCCCGGTGCACCTCCTCACTGGTGTGCTCGGGGGAGATGGGGGGCAGCTCCTTCTCGGGGATTTTCTCGGTCGGGCTTTCAATCATGCTCTGTGCGTGCTCGTAGCTCAGTTTGGTACAAGAGCGAATGATGGTCCGACCAAACCATTCACCAAGGATCTGCAAAGACAGATTGAGAGGGAATCAGGAGAACTTTTTCCAGGCTTTTCTTTCACGCAACCATTCATCTGTACACATTCTACAGAGATCTACCAAGCACCAACCCTGTGCTCAGAATGGTGTTACATTCTAGCTAGGCACGGAAACCGATCAGATGAGGAAAACGGCTGCCCTCAGGGAGCTCAGGCTCCGAGGGCTGGATTTAAGAGGCTGTGGAGGTCGAGAGAAGGTCTCCAAGCACACAGGTGGTACAGACCAGGCCCAGCGGGAGGGAAACTCAAGGTGAAGGGCCTGCTGGAGCACCTTTCCATTACTTTGAGTGAGTGGTCATTAACAGCAAAACTGGAAGAAAGATAAGGGATGGGGGTAGAAGGCAAAGATGTGACACATGGGCAATCTGAAGACTTGGTAATGGATTGGATGTGGGGTGAGGGAGACAAGGGGGGGGTCACTGACAGAAACAGAGAACACAGGTGAGAGAAGCAGGATGGAGGCAGAAAGAGAAAAGGATTTCCGACTTATTCTATTTGGGCCATTTACGTGAAGACAATGGTCCAGAACAAGGTTTCTCAACCCCAGCACTACTGAGTGGGCTAATTCTTTGTTGTGCGGGCTAGCCTGTGTATTGTAAAATGTTTGGTGATATTCCTGGGCTCTGCCTGATAGATGCCAGCAGCCCCTCCCACAACCCCAAGCTGACAACCAAAAATGTCACCAGACATCGCCAAACATCCCTAGGGGGAAACTTGGCCCAGGCGGAGGCCCACTGGACTTGACAGATCCACCCAAATTGAGCAGTGGTGTTTGCTGTCATGGGATTACTGCTGATTCATATTTTATCCTTAAAATTTGCCTGTATCTTCTATAATGAGCATTTATTGCTTTTTTTAAAAAAATAAAACAAACGTTAAAATATTTTTGGGACTGCTGAGTCTGAGGGGCAGGGAGGAGATCCAGATGGTAGGCTGTGTAGCAGGCAGCTGGGGTGTGGGCCTGGGGTCTGGGTCGATGACTCATCTACGGGTGGGGAACTGGCAGCCTCGGCAGGAAGGTCCGAGAAAGACAGACCGAAAGGGCAAGGGAGAGTCAAGGCTGCACTCTCTACCATCTCTCCACGTTAGGGGGCAAAAAGAGACTCTGGAGAGTGAAAACAAAAAATGAGAGAGCTCAAAGGGACAGGAGAAAGATCAGGGTGTCCAGAGATAGGGGAAAGGTACTTAAAGAAAGGAGTCCTCAGAAGCCACAGCAGACACACCCAGAGCACTTGAGAGGGGACAAGAAGCTTCCCCCAGAGCAGCCATTTCAGGCAGCGACTCTATGATATAGTTTTGTTATCCTCACTCTGCAAAGGCGGGAACTGAGACACAGACATGGTAAGGGACCTGTTTGAGGTCACAGGCTGGGGAAAGGCACAGCTAGGAACTGAGCCATGGCCTGAGTCTGAGCTCTTAGCCACCATTAGGGAGAGTCAAATGTCACTTGGATGTCAAGGAAGATAAAAACAAAGAAAAATCTTTGCATGTCACATTTGCTTCTTGGTGATCTTTTGGACAGCTTTTTAGGGGGAAGAGCGTGGGGTGGGTGTGGGGGTGGTGGTGGTGACGTAGAGGCAAACTACAATTTCAGGCCCTGTGCTGTGCGTGGATTTGGAGAGGCTGCCACTGTGGGCCCATCCACTGTAGGGGAAGCCAGATCCGCCTGCCGTCAGCCCGGCACACGCAGCCCTCAGGCGAGGCAAACAGCAATGGCTCTTCCGTAGGCCACGATGGAATGAAGTTCTGGAAGCTTGGGGTTAAGGAAGGATAGGTGCACATCTGGTGGAGGAAGGGTAATGAGTGTGGATGACTGCTTCTGGATTGTGCTGGGTTTGTGGGGTGAGGGAAGAGGCACCCATCCACGAGAGAGGAAGAGTGGCCTGGAGAGGAGGCAGGAAGGAAAGGGGAGGCGAGGGAGGCAACTCTGGTGGGAGAATTGGGGAGGGGGAAGCTCCACTCTAGCTCTACTCTATGGGGGAGAAGGCAAAGGATGAGGAGGTTAGGTGGGGCTCAAAGGCATGAAGAAATAGAAAAGCTCTGAGAGAAATAACTGTGGAGAATGGATTCGTGGGCAAGGAAAACTATATGTTCTGAGAGAGAGAGGGGGCTCGGGAGGAGGGAGGTCAGTCTAATCAGTTGCGGGACCTCTCTGCCTGGACTTGCAAACATCCCCTCTGCCTTCTTTTTCACAGGTCAAACCATTCTGTTCACAGCCTCCAAAATATGCTTCCTGAAAAAAAGCCATCTGAAGGATCCATGGGTATTTCCGGGGTAAAGGAGAAAGCCCAGCCCAGAGGAGCTGTCCACACCACACAGCCTGTATGGAACATGCTGGCTACTACCCTGGAAGGCGAGAGAGACACTGACCCCTAAAATACCCTAACCTTCCCCTGAAGGAAGAACCAGTACTCTTAAAATAGCAGCGGAGAAGCACAGGAAAAGAATGGTAAAAACTACTCTCCTTTTCCTTTGATTCAGTGCAAAGAGCCTCATTATACATAGAGTCTTGGATCTGTAATTTGGACTTTAATTTTCTTAAAAACAACAAAAACTAACCCTTAAACTCCACTTTCTGGATTATTCCAAGAACCACTCTTATCCAAAAATATAAGTGATTCAAATACTGTGCTCACGACTCTTCTGCTGCAGCAAGTAGGTCCTGAATTTGGCTCTCAGGAGGTGTCTGCGTGTGTGCTGAATGCAAGAGAAATGAGAGAGCCAATTCGAGGTATCGTCCAACAGTCCCGGTGGGGAAGTAGTGCACGCAGGTCTCCAGAAGAGCCCCTTTCAAGGTCAGCCCATGCTTGTCCTTCTATTACATCCACATTTCCTGAAAACTCCCCACTAATGGAGTCGCTCCAAGCTCCTCTAGAATGACAGGGCCACGACCCATTCATTCTTGTGGTCACAAAGTTTTCCCCTGGAGATTAAGCTTGTTTCCTGTTCTCGACTGCACTCCAAACCCAGTCAACCCTGCTCCTTCTATGTGTCCATTTTGTTTGCCAGTCTGTCTTTAGCATGCTTGGGGAAACTTTCCTTTTGATTCTGCACACCTTATGAGTAGTTCCACCAAATGATTCCCTCAGGTATCCAAGTCATAGGCTATCTGGCCTTCTGGGGTCTGTGTCCTATTTTTCCTGAAGGACGCAGGAAACCCTAGCATACTTCTATGGGTAACCACCACACATAGCTCAGGCAGTCTCCCACCAGCCTGACTGGGCATCTATTTTCAGGTAATCTAGTGGGTCAAGAACTGCTTTAAAAAATTTTAAAAAAGCCCCAGGTCCTCTCCTTTGAAATATTTATGCACCAAATTTTGCAGTAAGTTCCAGAAGGTTCTCAGACACTCTGCCAACCCCAAGCCCATATGTCCTTGCTCTAAACAGAGCTTGTTTCTCCCTCAAAGCCCTCTGATTATGGTGCTGAGTGCTGACTAGAGGCCACTTTTCATCCTCAAGAGTTCGTAAAATTTATTATCTGTAACTTGGCAAAATCAGAAGTCTACCACTCCTTACCAAAATTTGAGAACAACACACAGAGGCTACACTGTCTCAGTTAGTTTGAGCCAATTTTCCCCTAATGGGCACCTCTGCTCCTTTAGCTTGTTTCCTTATCAGTCGATGACAGGCAGCCTTCTTACCAGCACACACGAACACCACCAAACCAGACTATGGCACAGACGAGAAGTTTCCTAGAGTGCTCTCAACTTACTTGAGCACCCCTTCCCGCTCGTGCCCGCATCCTAGAAAAATCTGCACCAACCTTCTTTTTGAATATACAAAGGGCCCAAGAGGAAGCTTTGAAGAGCCATCAGGAACATTCTGGCCCAGGGACAGTGGCCTCAGGCAGCAGAACCTATCCTGCTTTAACACAATCCAGTGATTGTGGGAATCATCCTATGCACAGATTTAAAACAATTCTGAGGCTGGGGGGCGTGGCTGGGTGGCACAGCTGGTTGAACGTCCAACTCTTGGCTTCAGCTCAGATCATGATCTCAGGATGGAGACTGAGCCCCGGGTCGGGCTCCAGGCTCCGTGCCAAGTCTGTCTGAGATTCTCTCCCTCTCTCTCCACCCCTGGCATGCACTCTCTCTCTCTCTCTCTCTTAATAAATAAATAAACAAAATCTTAAAAAAGAAAATCCTAGGCCAGGAAAAAGCGGAGAGGCAGCAGAGAAGCAAGGATACCCATCACTGCCTTACATACAAGGGCAGCAAGAAAGCGAAGACCCAAATGGGGGTGGGGCAGGGTTCCCAGGGGCAGCATGCCTTACAGCATGGGAGGAAGGTTCCTCTCTGGATAGAACACCTCATTAATCTCCCATTTGGAAACTGTCTTCACATCAACGCCCTGTTCATAACCAGGGCCAGTGGCAGGAGACAAAAGGACAAAGAGTTTTTCATGGAAAAAGTAAAAAAGCCACGAGGAGCTTCATAAACAAAATCCTTCTGAAAGAAGATCCTGTCCTCCTCTCCTTTGTTTCATCAGGGGATTTGGGTCACTCCCTTTCTGCAGGCTGCAAGTTTCCCGCATATTCTCTAGGACATGGCTGTCTAAATGTCAGCTTAAATGCTGTGCCAACAGGCACTGAGGGCAGATGGCTGGAAGCACCCTGCTGAGGAAGGAGCGCACGACGTGTACCTCCAGACTTCCTTTCCCGTACCAGGTAAGCGAGGAAATGGCACAACCCTGGAGGGCATCTGGCCCCCTTGGGCTGCAGGGCGCTTTCATACCTACTGCCTTTTAGAATCTCTTCAACTCATCTGATGGGAGTGCACCGATCAGCCCATTTCACCGCTGAGAAAATAGGCTGGCAGTCTGAAAAGTCACACAGTCTCCTCACTGGCAGCCAAGACTGTGTCTCACTATGTAAGATTCAAAATTCAGTGTCACATGTGTCACACCACAGCTGAATACACTCTATTTCAGCTGAGACTGACAATAAGGTAAAGGAGACAAAGAATGC